GCTACAAGCATCAGGCTTTTTATAGCGTGCCCAGTACTTCTCTGGGGCCTGTGGGGGATACAGCGAGGCAGAAGAACCCTAAATTCGTGCTTTAAGGTTCTCACGACCCTTTTAAAAATGGTATTTAAATGTTTTTATTGACATCTTTTGTTTTGACATCACCTTTATTTTCCAAATTTATCTTTCTCCTTTCCCCAGCCCAGTGAGTCATCCCATGTAACAAAGAAGAAAAAAGAAATAGGGGAAAAGAAAACCAATTCAGCAAAGCTAACCAATGTTGCATCTAACAGTGTATGCAGCATTCATAGCCCTCCACCTCTGCAAAGAAAAGAGGGAGCTGCATTTGGCTCATCTTTTCTTTAGGGAAAAGCTTCACCATTGTAGTTACGTGGCATTCAGTTTGGGTTTCAAAAAGTGTTTTGAGATGCTTTGGGATTTTGTTTTTGTTTTTGTTTTTATGTTAATGTCACTTTTCATCAACACCCCCCCCCATAGAAATATCCTTTATATCAAAGAGAAACAGTTGAGCTAAATAAACTGGCAAATTGACCGCCTGCCTCTCACCCTCCCTACCATTTTCTAGCAAGGTCTTGCATGCAGGATCCCCAACCCTTTGGGGAATGCCATGGGAAACACTGCTGTGTTGGAAAAATGCCTCCTTTCCTGGCCAGCGAGAAGTGTGCGTATACCCTACCATATCCACAGTCCCCCACCCTTCTAACAAGAAGAAGTGAATATGTTTCATCACTACAGAAGTCTAGTTCTGGTGCTCAAAGGGCCCTCAGAGGTCATCTAGTCCAAGCCGCTCATTTTACAGGTGAGGGAACTGAGGGAAGCTTGGAGAGGGGAGGAGACTTGCCTACAGGGGCCTTGGAGCCAGGGACACCCGGGTTCAAACTGCACCTCTGACCCATCCTAGCCAGTGTGACTGGGCAAATCATGGAACCTCTCAGTGCCCCCAGGTGACCGCCCCAAGGCGATAAGTTTTCAGAGAAGGTGCTGATCTGCTTTGGGAGAGGGAAACTACCTACACCAATGGAATTATAGTCGGGGGGGGGGGGCAATGAAGGGCAGGGTTACTATTGACTCATATTGAACTCTCAGGCTTTTGGTGAACTTCTACCCAGAGATAATGTATGCAAATTGCTTAGTAAACCTTAAAACATTATATAAATGCAAGCTCTTTTTATTAGCTCTGACTCCCCCGGCCTGTCTTTGTACACTGATTTCTTGAGCCCAAGTGAAGGGCTTCACATTTACCGCTATCGAATTTCATCTTTTTAGATTTGTTCCATCGTTCTAGCCCACATCAATCTCTGGATCCTTATTGTCATCCGCTGTGTTACCTCTGCCAGCTCAGTGTTATCCACAAATCTGATCAGCATGCCGTCTGGGTCTTTAGCAAACTTTCTACCGAAGATAAAATCTCAAACAGAACAGGACTGAGGACACAGCCCAGCAGCACCTTCTCTCCAAGTTGACGTAGAGCCGTTCACTAATAAATAATAAACATTCAGGGGGCATCTAGGTGGTGCAGTGGATAGAGCACCAGCCCTGGAGCCAGAAGGACCTGAGTTCAAATCTGGCCTCAGACGCATAACACTTACAAGCTGTGTGACCCTGGGCAAGTCACTTAACCCCATTACCTAGCCAAAAATAAATAAATAATAAACATTCACTTTGGGTCTGGTCAATGGACCCAAAGTTATAGTCAAAACTCTAACTGTACTGTTATTCTATAGGCTGTTTTAGAGTGGATGACCACTATTCTTCTGTTCCCCTTTCCTCTAATTCTTCTGGCCACCTTTGGCAACTAGTGAATTTATTATCTTTTGTTCTTTCTGACTTGTCTAGAACCAGGAGATGCTTTCTTTTTTTTCCTGTTACACAAATAGACCAACTATCTCTACTGTCCTTAGCCTCTGATGACCCTTCCCCAATCCCTTCTTGTCTTCTTGTTCGAATTGGCATCGGTTATTAACAAGCATATGGAAGACAGCACCTGTGGACGAAATGAAATTGTGTCACCCACAATCCGGTCCCCTCTCCTGCTTGCTGTGGACGAACAGCCCAGTGACATGTAACCCAGTTTCAGGCTAGCCTTTGTCTGACACACGCTGAGGACGTGTGTGGCAGGATTGGCTCTGGAGCTGCTGAGATTGAAATCAGGTCAGCTGAGAAAATTTGGAGAGAAAAATCATCTGTTGGTTGTTTGACTTGTATGTTTTCCTCATTTCTTTCTTCTTAGTTGTCAAGGCCAGGATTCTTTTCTCAAGAATTCTGGTCTGTTCTTTGTTTTCATGTTCCTGGGTGGAAGGAAATGCAGAGACAGATCTCTACCTGGAATGCTGGTGGACCTGTGGAGAAGTAGGCCCCCTGGTATCCTGCCGATGGGGCAGTGATTTGGGATGGTCTTTCTGGAAAGTGATATGGCCTTATATAATAACTACAGAACTATTCATACCCTTTGACCCAGTTATCCCACTAATAGGATTATACCCTAAGGATATTATTGACAGGGAAAAAAGACCGAGCTGTACTAAAATATTCCTAGCAACGTTATTTGTGACAGCAAAAACCTGGGAACAAGCCGTAAGCCCAACAGACGGAGGATGGTTGAACCACATGTGGCAGCCAAGTTAAATGGAATATTAGTGTGCCATAAGAAATGACAAATATGGAGAATACAAAGAAGGAGGGAGAGACAAATCAAGGAAGAAGAATCAGAACACACCCACTGACTGCAGTGTTAATGTTAAAGAATAATAAAAATAATAACAATAATAACAAGAGAAAACTCCAAACAAAATTCACAGACTCAAGAGATCAGAAAGGGGCATGGAAATTAAAAAAATAATGTTCCTTGTTATTATTTTAAGGGGAAGGAAGAGGGAGCATTTAAGTGCCTACTATGTGCCAGGCATTTATGCTAAGCACTTAATAAATGTTATCTCGTTTGATCTTCATAACAACCTTAGGTGTTATTATTATCCCCATTTTACAGATGAGGAAACTGAGGGAGAAGTTAAGTGACTTGCCCAGAGTCATGCAGCTATGAAGTGTCTGAGGGTGGATTTGAATTCGGTCCTTCCAGCCTCCTGATCCACCGCTCTATTTACTGCTCCACCTAGCTGCCCAAGTTAACATGTTTTCATATTTCATTCTGGTCAAGTCAAGACAGCTTTGGTAAAATGGAGAACATAATGGCACCTACCCCTTAGGGTTGTTGTGAGGATTAAATGAGATAACATTTGTAAAGCACTTGATACAGTACCTAGCACATAGTAGGCACTATATGAATGATGATGATGGTGATGTCAACAAGCATTTATTAAGAGCCCCCTTTTTGGCTAGGTAATGGGGTTAAGTGACTTGCCCAGGGTCTCATAGCTAGTGAGTATTATGTGTCTGAGGCCAGATTTGAACTCAGGTCCTCCTGACTTCAGGGTCAGTGCTCTATCCACTGTGCCACCAGCTGCCCCCCTGTGCCCTATTCATGATATGTGCCTGGCCCACTTCCTTTTCATCTCTAATGAGATACCTGATGCTGCTTCTCCTGCACAGTTAATCACTAATAATGTGGCACAGCTTACTACTGCCCGCCATTCATCTCTTGATTGCCCTTTGGGTGACCTGAAACTTGGTCTTTTCAGAAACTAGGATATGGCATGACTCACACACATAAAGCATCTCCAGAGGAAAATGGATAATGAAAAGATGCAGCCAATTAATTTATGTCAATGACCAGTGCTGTTGTTTGTGTGGGAATTCTTGCCCCTCCAGGCAGAGCTATCCATCATTCATAGTCTTTGGGGGTTACTTGAAGCTCTGAGAGGTTCTGACTACCTAGAGTCAGGGGTAGGATTAATTCGAGGTCTTTTGGTCTCCTAAATTCAGCATTCCATCCACTCTGCCACACTCTTTCTCTAAAGTTAATATAATCTTTGCTAAATAACCTAATTTGGAGTTTATCACTATTTACAATTGTTCCTTTATCTGAATGTTTTTGTTGGTTAGGTTTAAAAATTTTTTTTAAATTAAAGATATCAAGTAACTGTTGGCATTAGTCAATTATAGTATTCAACTGAGCTCAACTGAATCCAGCTACCTCAGTTTTTTTTACAGAGGAGGAAATTGAGGCACAGAGCAGTTAAGTGACTGGCCCAAGGTCACACTACTAGTAGTTTCTGAGCCAGGAATTGAATCTAACTCTTTTTGACTCAAGTCCAGCCCTCTATCCACTGCTCCACCCTGACTTTGTTGTGAGCAGTGGTAGCCTGTATGGAATCAAAAGGGGCAGGCTTGCAGGGGGAAGAGAGGAAGGATATTTAGAAGAAGACAACCCCTACACTTCAGTGCTTTGTCATGCCAGTGACCCTCATTCATGCTTCCTCCACTCAGATGGATCAGAACCCACCCATATTTTTTCATCCTTGACAAGTGTTGTCCATGTCTTTCCATAGAGGAGTACCCCAGTGATTGGGAAACGGGGACCTTCATCTAGCTTTTGTAACATTCCATGGGCACCAGTCCAGCTCTTTGACTGTCCCTCTCTTATCCCCTCCCAAGTACAGCCAGAACTAGATAAAAAATGTAATTGGGAAATCTTTTTTAAAATAAATATAAATACAACAAAACATTAGATAATGTTAATATGTGATTTCCTAAGTCAACATGTGACCCGCAGGGATCCTCATTATGGTTTAACGGCTCCCATTTCTATCTGAGTTTGACACAACTAGACCGACACCTCTCAGGTCTCTCCCAGCTCTGAATGTATCATGCTATGATCCAGACAAGGTCTGTTAAACAATTGGTCTCATTACCTTGTTGTCACGCCCTGTATTTTGTAGGTGAGGTGAGAAAACTGAGGAAGAATTTGACTTGGGGTCCACCCAGCAGCCCTCTCTTCCACCCTGGGGCTGGTGGGTGAGACTCCGGTCTGGGGCAGGGATCCCAGGGGTCCCCTCGCTAATCAACCTCGGTTGTTGCTGTTGCAGGAGGGAGATGCCCTGGGCACCATGGAGAAGCTCTGTCGACAGCTGATGTACCATCTCAGCCCTCACTCCCAGTGGAAACGCCACAGCCTTATGAAGAGGAAATCTCAGGCCTGGTAAGTTCCCCTTAGGATCCTATGGAGAAAGGGCTGCCACAGAATCAGAGGAGGGAGCCCAGTGATTCTCAAAAATTAATCTCTGCTATGACAAAACCAACACGTGGTCATTGAGTCTTTACTAGTAGGCAAGTATTACTATTACTTCCTGGGAACCTGTCCCAGCCTGGTCAGTGAGGAGGCCGCCCTCCCCACAGGGGATAGCTCATGTATTGGAGCTGGCCATCTCCTCCCTGATCTACCATCTGTGTGACCATAGACAAGTACCTATTTTCCTGGACCTCAGTTTCTTCATCTGTAAAATGGAGAGGTAGGGCTAGGTGGTCTCTGAGGCCCCTTTCATGATCTTATCATCCCATGTGATAGGAAGGACCTGTAGGAAGGAAGAGATGGAGTCCTTCTCCTTAGAACCAAGTCTGATATGGGGGACGCCTGTCCCCCGTCCGAGGGACAGCCCCGCTCGACGGTCCCTGCCGTTGTGAGCATCCCAGTCTGATCCAGCCCAGTGCTACTCTCAAATAGTTTCCAATCCCCGTCTTGGAAGAGCCCCGACCTTGATAAGGGGAATGTGGGGGAAGGGGAGTGGGCAGGAGAACGTCCCCCTCATCAGAGGCGTAGTCCCCCATCTCTGAATCCAGGGCCTGAGGTTCTCCTTTCTGACAGGAGAGATGTTATCCCCACCCTCGGAGAGCTTTGAGTCTGGTGGGGAAGACCCAATTGCTGCCGTGCCTTATGAAAAGACACCCAGTGCCTGCTCTTGAGGTGGGGTGGGGGGTGAGCTATGAGTCTTCTGGAAGACAGGAAGGTGTTTAAAAACAACCAAGAGAATAGGTGATCATCTGGGCCACAGACAGAGCCAGACGGGGCTGGAGACAAGTGTTGACCACCCGTCCTTCCAGATGCTCTCTTCTCTGAGGGCACACACACTGTTGTAACATTGCTTTTCGAGGTCTTCCTCCTACTTGCCTGGCTGCTCCTTCTCAGTCTCCTTTGCAGGGTCATCATCCCTCACCCCTTTCTCCCTCACTTGTCTGTGCTCCAGGGCCTGGTCCCTGGTCTTCTTTTCTGTCCCCACTCTCCTCACGCCTCCTGCTCCAAACATCCTCCACACAACTGCCAAAGAGCAGATGTTACAGGGCCACCCACCCCCCTCCTTCTTTCAATAAACCCCAGTGAGTCCTTATTCCCTTTGAGATAAAAGACAACTCCGGTTTGCCACTTAAAGCCCTTTCCAGACTGATTCCAGATCATTCCGTGTCACACACACACACACACACACACACACACACACACACACACACACACACGACATTCCCAGGATAGCCAATCTGTCCTTTGTACTGTTACTGACACACAAAGCCCTGTGTCCTGTCTCCGTGTCTTTCTGGGCACAGGCTGCCCCCTTGCCTGGAATTCACTCTCTCTTTACCTCTTTGCCTCTTCGAATTTCTAGTTTCTTTCAAGCCCTGGCCCCTGAATTTAGAGCCTGCCTCATTCCCACAGCTGCTGCACCTCCCTGAGTCCCATGAGTACCTCGGATCTATTTTGCATATTTTTGTGTATAACTATGTATTCGTGTTGCCTCTCCTTAGAGAATGTAAGCTCATTGAGGACAGAACCTCTCTCATTTTCCTCTTGGTAACTGACTGCCTGTGAGCCCAGGACCCGGCATATTTGCCACTACTCCAGTGATTTTGTGATCTCCTAAATTCTGAGATTCCGTGCCCACTCATCCTGTGTGACTCCCTTCCATGTCCTCCCATAATTACACCCCAGGCAGTCCATCCAATGTGCTCTATAAATGCTGATTGATTGATCTGTTCTCTTGATTTTCAGTCCCACCAGCCTCCTGCCCGAGCAGATGGTGGGCACTTTGGAGAGAAGGAAGTCCTGTGAATAGGATAGCCTCAGGGGGCCGAGTCCAGCGAGATAAAGCTCCACTCTTCTGTTCCAGTCCTCCCTTCCCCAAATGCAGCCCCCGAGGGAACACTCAGATCTGTACACATTGTTCCCCTGCCTCCCCCACCCCAGAAACTGATTAGCCCTTGAGAGGGCAGGGGAAAACGTAGTCATGAAGGGAAGCAGAAATGAGAATGAGCCAGAGAGGTAGAGAGAGGTAGGGAGGGAGAAGGAGATATTCCCCAGAGTAACAATTAATTAGTGTCGGCTCAGAGGAGCAGCTGCATCTGGCTGGATCCCAATTGCCAGAGAGTGGGAAAGGTCGCTGGCTAATTGGTAGCTGGGAGGCAGAGCCCTGGATCCCCCACAAAAGGTTAGGTCCGGGGCAATAGGGAGCCCAGCCCCAAAACTGCCCCGGCTTTCCACAGAAGTGCCTTCCATCTCCCTTGAGAGCATGAAGCAGGAGCTCTCCTGATGGCAGCCTGGCCTGCGAAGGGCCCAATTCCCCCTGCCCCGGGCTCAGCAAGTTTCACTCCTGAATCTCTTGTACCTGGGGAAACACCAACCAGAGCCTGCCTTTCGATGAGTCTGAAAATTCAGAGAAGCCCCAGGGACAAGGAGCTGTGAGGCCCAGGTGGATTTTGTTCCAGATGGCTTTATTAGGAGAAAGTTACTGAACCAAAGGAGGGCAGGAAGCCTGGGAGGGTGGGGAGACCCCCACCCCACCCCCACCACGATCGATCTCCTTCAAGATTGTTCTTTCCCTTCGGGTCTCTCAGGGAAGCCCTCTGAAGGGACCAATGGGGAAATCGAGGTTCAGCTTCTACCCTTTGTATATTGGAAAAGGAAGATAACAGTCATTCCCTGGGTTGTCGAGTTGTGAGGATGGAAGGATTTAATGTACATGAAAGTGCTTTAGAAACCATCATTGCCCGTAAAAGAACCCCAATATATAAATCTGGTTTAAAGTTCAGGTAGAAAAAGTTTTATTGTTGAGATAATAATAAACCATGAGATAGGTAGTGCTTGAAGGCTGCTAGGTGATTCAGTGGATAGAGCACTGGGTCAGGAAGAAGACTTGAGTTCAAATCCAACCTCAGACATTTAGTAGCTGTGTGACCCTGGACAAATCACTGAACCTCTGTTTCATTATCCATAAAATGGAGATAATAACGGTCCCCGCCTCCCGGGATTGTGAGGATCAAATAAGAGAATATTTTAAAATTGTTTTGCAAGCTTCAAAATGCTGACTATTATTATTGTTATTATAAGCCAAGGCAGGGCAGATCAGAGATGGCTCTACAAATCGGGTAAGCTTTCTCTTGCAAACCACTTGCCACCTATATATAGTATAAAATGAAAAGAAAGCCCAGCCCTGCTGGACCCCAGCTTGTGACTCAGTACAGGCTAACCGCGTTCCCTACAAAGACAGAATGTGCCGTCCTCTGCGAGAGTTGACAACATCCTACACCTAAGCTTTGTTCTACAGATTTGTTCGTCCCAGAGAAGTGAAGGGACCCTGGGGAGGAGGACAAGAGCTTTCTATCTGAAGGTCCAGCAAGAGCGACTGGGAAGGGAGGAAAGACTTAGACACCAAGACGGGGGGGGGGGGGGGGGGCCGCGGACACACATGACTCACTCAGTTTACACTAACACGGAGGCTGATTCTAAAATGAACTGACTCATGTGAAGAGAAGGAAAATAGAGGGTCCCTCTCTCTTTGCCTCCACTCCATGGACCTCAGACAAATGCTGTGTTGCTTTTATTGGGATAGCAAAGTGAGTCAGCTCTCAGAATGTTCGTTTACTGGGAAGCCCAGGGGGTCCCATTAAGGGGACCCAATTTCATGGTAGGTGGGTTCATATGTGGGGGTGGGAGGATCTTGACTTCAAAAAGGGTCAGATTCTTTCTCTTTCTAACTCGGTCCCTACCCTGGAGTAATTCCAAGGAAATCCCTAAAATGAAGGTTGGGGTGGCTTATGCTTATGGTCCCCCCAAAATGTGAGTGACAGTGTCCATTTTAGAAAAAAAAGGACTGGATATCTCCCACAAAACTGGACATGCTCTCTAGCTCCTTGCCAAAGGACCACAGTCCCACAAATCAGGGATTTGCCTGGTCACCCCCTGCTATTTTAGGAAGCAGGAAAGTTGATTTGGCATTTGAGAAGGACGAGGCAGAGAGATTGGAATAAAGGTCAAAGGTAGGGGGAAGTACCCTCCTCTCAGGCACTGGCCCAAGCACCACATTCCTTTGGCCCTCTCTAGCTGCCCTCCCCTTAGCCCCTGGCTGGGGCATGGAGATGGAGGGGGCACTGCATTTGGTCAATTTCAACGTCAATAAGCATTTATTTTTAAATAGACTTAATTGATATGGTTTGTTTTTACGTTGCATAGATTTTTTTTTACATTTACATAGATTGCCTCCTCCCTCCTCCCAGAGACCCTTCCCATGTAACAAAGGATTTTTTTTTAAAAGAAAAAGAGGAAGACAAAAATTCAGCAAAACTCATTAGTATGTTTCAAACAATCTGACATTATATACAGTGTCCCACCCACCCCTACTTCTGCAAAAACAGTCGGAAGAGGTCTCTTTCCTCTTCTTTGGGATCAAATTCATTCTTTGTAATTTTGCAATATTCATTTTTTATTGTTTTGACCCACATTGATTAAACATCTGCTGTGTGCCTGGCCCTGTGCTAAGTGCTGGAGATAAAAAGAAAACGTGAAAGCCCCTTGTTCTTGAAGAGCTTACAGTCCACCTGTGCCACAGGTACCACGGATAGGTCCGTGGAAGGAACAACCACTGGGGCGGGGGCTGTGATTCTCCCTTCTGGTCCTTCTCCCAGTGCCAGGCCAGGTGGGCAAGGGGAAAGCAGCCCAGGGAGGGCACACCTGGTAATACTTTTTCCATATACTTCATCCTCTCCCCACTGCCTTTAGCCCAGGGCTGCCCATCTGGCTCCTCTGGGCTGGGCAAGGTTCAGGTTCAGTATCCCCAGGATGGAGCTCAGCGTCTAATCCAAACCTTGATGGGCACATGTGTGTAGAGGACCTAAATAAACATGGGCCCCTGGCACAAGGCCTGGAGTGCACTCTGTACA